CCCGAGGCCGACCCACAAGCCGGAGGACCCCCGCGACCTTCCCGAGGGGCTTCGGGACGCCGCACAAGGATAGGCCCAGGCCGCGTGGCCACCGTGGCGTTTCCTCCCCCGGGCCCCACCCGACCCGGGATGAAGCCACGGGGCAGCGAAATGTGGAGGAGGATCTGGGCCTGGCGCTTCTCCTTTCAAGAGTGCTTGTCTTCCTAAGAGGTGCCCTTAGGAGTTGGACGGAGTGTTGAGTAGAGATGCCTCTTCTCCTGGGCACGCCCCCTCCCTGCCTCCTTCACAGAACAGTCCGATTGGTTTCCAGGTACTGTAGTTTGTCTCCAATTTTCAACTTTCTGGTGGTTTAGGAATAGCTGTATGATGCCTTGTAATGGGTGGCCCTAGGAGATCTATAGCTGGCTGGATAGCTCAGTGCCTGTGGACTGGGAGCTCAGTTCCCCTCTTTGCATCCCAGAAGAGCCAGCCTGTGTGGCCTTGGGGGCAAGCTGCACAGACCCAGGATGCCTCCAGAAGAAGACAGTGGTATACCACCTCTGAGTATTCCCTGCCTGGAAAACCCCGAAGAGAGTCACCATGAGTCAGAATTGACTTGACGGCAGGCAATTATTATCTAGGAGCTCTTTATCTGGAGGCACCTCAAGGAGGAGAGATGCACGAGGGATCCTCAGACCCTGCTAGCATTTCTTCTGAGGAGGAAGTGTCTTGCCGGAGAGAACCTCAGCCTGTGGGCTGCCTCCTTGGCAAGGAGACAATAGGAAACAAGAGAGCAGCTGCGCTCCATGTGTTGCCCTGCTTCTTCTGCCTCTGTTCTCTCCCTTTCATCTTCCAACTGTTTGCAACTGCTTCGCCCATAGTTGGCTGCATCCCAACCTTTTGGAACCTGAATCCCACTTTCCCCCTGTATGGAACATGATGTTGCTGACAGACCCACATTCTTTTGTTGTGAGGCTGGCCCTCCAAGATAAGAGGGACATCTCCAACAAAGCCATCACTGGGGGGTGGAAACAGAAGAGCCAAGTCCATGGAAAGATGCCCTTAGAGAAGCTAGAGTAACTCCTCTTGGGCTGACTAAAATCATTCCTGATTAATTTTTCCTGAGTGCCAGAATTGGGTTATTGATCCTGAAACCTGATAACTTTATAGCTAAGATGCGATGTCTCTTTTATTACTGAAATTCATCTTTTAACAGCAGATCACTCATCACCAAACTACTTTTTTGTCCTAGTTTGATATTTATTCTACAGAAATGCATACAACACAACTTTGGATAGGCTTGGTTGCTGGTATCCTTTCATAATGTTCTCTGTGAAAATAAAGAAGAAAACTCCTTGCTTTACTGGATGGAAGATACAACAGTACATTGGACATGGTCAATATGATCCATGAAAAGGAGATGTTGAAATTAGGGATGTGTACTAGTACCAAAATTTTGATTTGGAATTACAGCCTTTCAAGATTTGGAATATGGAATTTTAAAAATGCAAAATTCCCAGGTACGTATGAATACTTTATAGCTATTATTTCCCCTTTTAAAAAAGCACAAACAGGCGAAACATTCTTAAGGGATTTTCTAGTGTCCTCTGACGCCTTCCCAGTAATTGTGCCAAACAAAGAGTGCATACCAACAGTTAGCAGTGCCTAGGTATTAGGAAATGCCTGTAATGGGCATGTTGATTGAACCCTGAACAGTGGGAATGCCAGTAGGAAATGCACTTGGGAGTGTGGGCTGTGCGCTGCACCCCTTTTATATTCCCAGCTTCTAATGCTGCCACCATTTTTACCCCATTGCCTGTGATAAACAGACCTTGTCTTTCTGTAAGTGGACTCCAGTGCTGCCGCATGTCCCTCAGAGCCTCTAGAACGTTGTGACCTGTGTGGCTGCCCTCCATCCCAGCCCCATTCAACAGGACCAACCTATTTCCTTGTGTGCTGCTGTGAGCCAGGAGGCGAGATGCGCCCTCCCTTCTCACAGAGGAGACTAAGAGAGGAGGGGACTCTGGGCTCACGAGGCCGCCAGAGGAAACCTCAGAGGAGTCCCTCGAGGGGGCGGAAGATGAACAACTGTCCCAGGGCTTGAGGGGGGATGGGAGTAGGGGAAGAGCAGTTACAAAAGGCGGGAAAGGGAAGTAAAGGGAGGGAGGAGATAGAAGGGGGGGAGGACAATAGATAAGAAAAAGAGAAGCATTACCTCCAGGTTGGGAATGGATCTGGCTACAAGATCCTTGGACCCATCAGTGAGAGAGGCTGAAAGGATCCAGGGAGGAAGCCAACCATAGAAGGAGAGCAGTGATTCCCCCTAGACTGTCATACTGGGGAGAAGTGGAGGCGAGAGAGTGGAGGAGGGGATTAAGAGAGGGAAAAGAAAGGGTGAAGCAAGAGATAAGGGAGTGAATGGAGAGCGTGGGAGATGAAGGAGAGGTCAGAGTGTTGGGAATCTGGGATATCTTGGACCCCCGGGAGCAGCCCAAGTGGGAAGATTTCCTGGGAGAGGTATCTGTGTCCCTGTTGCCTATACAGATGGGGGGGGGAGAGAGAATGAAAGAATGGTCACCTGTCAAGCAGCCAGGCCCATGGAATTCGAGTTTTGGGAACCCCTTCATTTTAGAAGAAGGGAAGCCCCTTTCCACCCCATTGGAGGGAGGAGAGAATGACTGTTCTGGTTCATGATAATTGTTTATTCAATAGTTCTAAAAGAAATGTGCCATCGTTACCTTTGCAAATTGTGTCTGTGTCTGATGAAGTTATTAGAGATAAAGAAGAGTCGCATGACCATCCAACTGAACCCTCACAGTTGCCAAATGTCTTATGCCTCCACCTCCCACCAGTGTCCAGTCAGGGAGAGATAGGCATGTTTTGCTCCAGATGTCACTTTAAAATGTACCACCTGTGCCTTGGACCAACTGCTGCTGTACCAGTTGCCTGACACTCCAATATAGATCTGGCACCGTCCTGTGGCTAAGGATAATTCAGGATGGCAATTGCCACAAACCTAGTCGTAAGATCGAATCCACGCAACAGAGTGAGCGCCTGTCGCTTGTCCCAGCTCCCGCCAACCTAGCGGTTCGAAAGCATGCAAGTGCAAGTAGATCAATAGGGACCACCTCGGTGGGAAGGTAACAGCGTTCCGTGTCTAGTCGCGCTGGCCATGTGACTACAGAAGATTGTCTTCGGACAAACGCTGGCTCTATGGCTTGGAAATGGGGATGAGCACCGCCCCCTAGAGTTGAACACGACTGGACAAAAATGGTCAAGGGGAACCTTTACCTTTACCTTACAGGAACCGTTGCTCTTCACTAGAGAGAATGGCTGGCCACCCATGGCTATCATCTCCCCTAGACAAAATGCTGGCATTTTTAGTACGGCAGAAGTCCTTTTCTTGCATTCCTCTGAGCTCTTCCAAGGTAGCCTGGAACTTATTCTTGAAATGTGACTCTGGCATTTGCTGCCTCCCATCTCTTGCTATTTATCCATTACCTCCATGCTTACCTGGGCTGGTGGCTTAATCTTTGCCCTCAACTATGTTTTATCCTTTACAATAATGAATGTCTTCCCACAGGAGGCCAGGTTAGCCCCATCTTTGTTGTCCTTCTGCAAGCAGGTGAAGACCTTGCTCTTCCAGCAAGCTTTCCTTTAGTAACTAGCTACCAGAGTAGGTTTTTTTTTAAGGCTGTTGTTAGAGCTTTCCTTTAGTAACTAGCTACCAGAGTGGGGTTTTTTTATTTAAAAAAGGCTGTTGTTAACTTATTGCTTTGAGTGTGTTTTGGTGTTGCTTTTGTTTACTGTTTTTAGTGTGATGTTTGTTTGATTCTTTTACTATATGTATAAAGTATGCTGCTTACTATGGTTGATACACTTGCTATTGTTAGCTTTACATACTGTCTTTTAATGATGTAAGCAACCTTGGATCCTTTTAAAGGAGATAACTGGGCTGAAAATATTTTAAATAAATAAATAAAATGTCCTGGGGTGAAAATATTTTAAATAAATAAAATTTCCTTCTTTATAGAAAAGTGAAGTTGGAAGATGCCTACAAGGTCATCAAGTCCAACCTCCTGCTCAATGCAGGAATACAATCAAAGCATATCTGCCAGGTGCTTATCTAAGTTTTTCTTGAATGCCTCCAGTGTTGGAGCACTCACCAACTCCTGAGGTAACTGGTTCCACTGTCATACTGCTCTAACAGGAAGTTTTTCCTGATATTCAACTGAAATCTGGCTTCTTTTAACTTGAGCCCATTGTTGTGTGTCCTGCACTCTGGGATGATCAAGAATAGTTCCTGCCCCTCCTCTGTATGACAGCCTTTCAAATGATGCTATCATATCACTCTTCAGTCTTCTCTCAAGGCTAAACATGTCCATTTCTTTTAGTCTTACCTCATATGGCTTGGTTTCCAGCCTCCTGATCATCCTTGTCACCCTCCTCTGAACTTGTTCCAATTTGTTGGCATCCTTCTTAAGTACAGCATTCAGAACTGGACACAATACTCAAGGCGAGGCCTAACCAGTGCTGAATAGAGGGGGACAAGCACCTTGCAGAATTTGGAAACTATACTTCTATTAATGCAGCCTAAAATAGCATTTGCCTTTTTTGTAGCCACATCACACTGTTGGCTCATATTTAGCTTGTGATCTACGACAATTCCAAGATCCTTCTCACTCGTAGTTTTACTGAGCCAGGTATCCCCCGTCTTGTAACTGTGCAATTGGTTTCTTTTTCTGAGGTGCAGTACTTTTCACTTACCCCTGTTGAATTTCATTCTGTTGCTTTCGGCCCAGTATTCTATCCTATCAAGGTCATTTTGAATTTTGTTTCTGTCTTCTAGGGTATTAGCTATTCTGTCCATCTTGATATCGTCTGCAAACTCTCTCATCCAAGTCATTAATAAAAATATTGAAGACTGGGCCCAGGACTGACCCTTGGGGTACCCCACTTCTTACTTCCTTCGATTTAGAGAAGGAGCTACTAATAATCACCCTCTGAGTATGATTCTGTAGCCAATTGTATTTCCACCTGACACTTGATCTAGCCAGCCCACACCTAGTTAGCTTGCTAATCAGGATATCAAGGGGCACTTTGTCAAAAGCTTTGCTGAAGGCAAGATATACTGTACTATGTCTGCAGCATTCCCTCTGTCTATCAGGGAGGTTAGCTGATCAAAAAATAAGATCAAATTAATTTTTCAGGATTTGTTCTTGACAAATCCGTGTTCACTTCTAGTTATTACTGCATTGTTTTCTAGGTGCTTGCACAAAGACTGCTTGTGATATATTCCAGAATTTTGCCTGGGATTGATGTCAGGCTGACTGGCCTGTAGTTCCCAGGTTCCTCTTTTTTGCCCTTTTTGAAGATAGGGACAGCATTGGCCCTCCTCCATATTAATCTATGGATCTACTAATACTAAATATTTTTCTTAGCTATATTAAGTAAACAGTATATAATGAGATTTACAGAATGTCAGTGTAAGGTTTGGAAAAGGACACAAGAAAACTGCTGCAGTGCAGGCTTGCACCAGAGCATATGCTCACAGCAAATGTTCAAGGGATTTAAAAGAAGCTATGCCTACCTTTTAATTGGAAAGAATCAATGTAAAAAAACCTTTTGGTATCTGTGCCTGCTTCCAGATTTCATTGGTGCGTATAGGTTTTTCTCTCACCCCCTTAGGGTTCCTCCCTTAGGAAACCCATGGCAACCCAATCAAGAGACACTCAGTTTTTTGCCCCTGCTACCCTTGGTGCCAGAGTGACTTTTTAAGTTTTATTTCCCAAGAAATCACTCCAGGGTGCCTGAGAAATAGGTTTCCCTTTCACTTTTGCCCCTAGCAATTAGAAATCTAGCCTTTTGTTTTCTGATCTATAAGATTAAATTTAGACTCCAAATATTAGGAATTACTGTATTATTGTACATATTTGGAACTATCAAATTTCAGATATTTGGAACTATCTGAATATGGGATTATTTGGTGAATTCCAAATATTTCCAAATCTGAATTCACATCCTTGGTTGATATTCTTCTGATGAAGATACCAGTTGCTGAAAGGGCCATGTAAAGTGTCTGAGCTGGAAGGAGCTTTAAACCATATTGCATTATATAGCTTTAGCCACCATTAGACCATAAGGATAGTAGAGCTTGGTCCATGGAACTTTAAATCTCACCATGGTGAATCTGTTTAGACATCTTAGCAAATGAATCGATCAAGGCCATATGAGGACAGCTGGGAGTAAAGATGAAGACCAGGGCTAAGCACGGCAGATGGATGAAAAGATGTATTTCCAGCTGCTGGAATGAGATCAGTTTGTCTGTATGGAGGCACAAGTAGTAGCAGAATACTCTAGCTGGTGAAGCTACAAGTATAAAACTGAAACCAAGATGCAAAGGCTGACTTTTACTATAGAAATGCTGGTATGCTGTCAGCCATATAACACTGCTAATGGAAAGCAGAGATCTGAGTGACAATTGCTGTCTTCCTCACACCAAAACCATTTCAGACAATTCTCATCTCCAAATCCCACTGGATTTGTACTGCAAGATAGCTACAAAGAGAGAGTGGGTGGGTTGGCTCTCTGATTACTTTTTCTTTCTCTTGTCTTTCCGTTCTAACCCATGTGCCGTCCCCAAAATGTAGAAGTCGAGGATTATTTCCTTGTGGGCTCAGTGCTAATCCTGGCCAGGGTTTCATTAAAGACCAATTCAGTTTGGGCCAGTGGGCTCATCCCTCTCAAACTTGGTGCTTGGAAGCTTTGCAATAGGGCTTATTTGTCAGAGGACACAGACCACAATATCAGTGACAGAAGAGAGACTTTAATGGAGAAACTGAGACCAGTGTTCTTTGATTCCATCCTCTCCCCTCCCCCCCTTCTAGTCCCCCTTTCTGTTTGGCTGATCAAAGGGTCTGATTGTATGTGATGGCCATGAGAGAACAGCCTCATCGTGCAGCCTGCTAGGGGTGGAAGGAAGGATGCCAAAATGAGGGCAGGAAATGGGACAACACAGGGAGGACTGTGCAACAGCTGATCTCATATGAGGAAGCAAGGAGGATAATTAAAGAATGTGTGCATAACTCACTTGTTATCAGTGTTAATGCTGTTACAGTCCTATCCATCTGTATGAATGTTGCTTGTCTGTCTATACCTCAATAAATGTGTCCAATGCAGATATATATATTCTGTATACCTGCTACCTGAGAGATAATACCTGCCCTGACGTATTGTCTAAGAGACTCCAAGCAAGTACTTCCATTTTACGGATGAGAAGCCATGTCAGAAAGAGATAGAAAACAGGTTTGATGGGGTGGAGGTGCACTTTGAACTTCTATATAGATTCTAGGTCAGGCATCAACAGGTGCTCTGCAGCTTTTAAAGAAATGCTTTCAGATGGGAGAGTTCAAAGAAAACGTATGGGAAAAATAGCTGTGGATTTGGAATGAACAATGGGTAAAGAAAACCGGAAGACAACTTCATTTAATGAAAGGTTGAAATGGGATTACGGTATATATTTGAGTTCCTTCCACAATCACTTTTAGAATAATAATTGCACTGTTATTATTCATTTGTTTTTAAGGGTCTCAGATGTCTTTCTGCAAATAACAACAACAACAACAACAACAACAACAACAACAACAACAACAACAACAACAACAACAACAACAACAACAACAACAGATCTCTGGCAGACATTGGAAACAGAATGCTAGACATGGTTTGGGCCAGCAGGGCTTTAATTCAAGGGTCAGAGCATTCATTGCTTCTCTATACTGTACATATTTTGTGAAAGAAAAAGAAAGAAAAGAAAGAAAGAAAGAAAGAAAATGTTGCTTCCCTCATTTTAAAATCTAGAGTTTTAAAAAGTTGTATCTTCATTTCCTCAAGATCATGTCACCAGCAGAGTGATAATTAATATGAGTAAATATATGGCAAGAAAGAAAAGAAGCTATATCTCTTTTACATCTGACCAGACATAAATTATAGATCCTAAAATGGTAGGAACTTCCATCATTTTCTTTCACTCATCCATTTATTTTTGTAGAGAGACAGCAGAGTTGAGAACTAGATACTGGGGGAAAGGTGAACTACCAGTTAAGTCTGGAAATAATAACTGACACAATTTTCATAATTCTGGCTTTGTACGCCACCACAATGGATATGAAATGAAACAACTGAGATGCAATTGAAGTGCAGACTTTTATCTTTAATTCAAGGAAGTTGAACAAAAATATTGTATGAAACACTTAAGAATTGCAACCATTTTCTTACACAGTCCCCTTATTTCAGGGGTTCAAATGTAGTTGGACACATTAACACAATCATAAATAAAACGTTCATTTTTAATACTTTGTTGGGCATTCTTTGCAGGCAAAGACTGCTTGAAGTCTGGAACGCATGACATCATGAAATACTGGGCTTCCCCCTTTGTGATGCTCTGCCAGGCCTTTACTGCCGCTGTCTTCAGTTGTTGTTTCTTTGTGGGTCTTTCTGTTTTATGTTTTGTCTTCAGCCAGTGAAATGCATGCTTGATCAGGTTGAGACCAGGTGATTGACTTGGCCAAATATTCCACTTCTTTGCCTGAAAAAACCCCTGGGTTGCTCTCGCAGTATATTTTAGGTCATTGTCCATCTGTAAAGTGAAGTGCCATCCAATCAACTTTGCTGAATTTGGCTGAATCTGAGTAGACAATATATCTCTATACACTTCAAATTCATCTGTCTGCTTCTGCCTTCTGTCACATCATCCATAAACACTAGTGACGCAATGCCTTTGGAAGCCATGCATGCCCACGCCATCACCCTGCCTCCACCGTGTTTTACAGATGATGTGGTATGCTTTGGATCATGAGCCGTTCCAAGCCTTCTCCATATTTTTTTCTTTCCATCAATCTGGTACAGGTTGACCTTTGTTTCATCTGTCCAAGGAATGCTCTTCCAGAACTGGGCTGGCTTTTAAAGATATTTTTTTGGCAAAGTCTAATCTGGCCTTTCTATTCTTGAGGCTTATGAATGGTTTGCACCTTGTGGTGAACCCTCTGTATTTGCTCCTGTGAAGTCTTCTCTTTATGGTAGACTTGGATAAAGTCTTCTCTTTATGGTAGGCTACTTTCTGGAGAGTGTTCTTCACTTGGCCAGATGTTTGTGAAGGGGTTTTTCTTTACCATGGAAAGGATCCTATGATCATCCCCCAGTGTTGTCTTCCCTGGACATCCAAGTCTTTTTGTGTTGCAGAGTTCACCAGTGCATTCTTTTTTTCTCGGAATGTACCAAACTGTTCATTTGACCACTCCTCATGTGCCTGCTATCTCTCTGATTGCTTTTTTTTTTTCAGTCTAAGGATGACCTGTTTCACTTACACTGAGAGCTCCTTTGAACACATATTGTGGGATCACAGCAACAGCTTCCAAATATGAATGCTGCATCTGGAATCAACTCCAGAACTTTTGCCTGCTTAATTGATTTTGAAATAGTGAAGGAATAGCCCACACTTGTCCATGAAACAGTTTTTGAGTCAATTGTCCAATTATTTTTGGTCCCTTGAAAAAAAAAGGGGGGGCTGCATATTAAAGGGCTGTAGTTCGTAAACCCTTCCTCCAATTTGGATGTGAATACCCTCAAATTAAAGCCAAGAGACTGCACTTTAAGCCCATATTCATTATTTAATTGTAACTTGAATTTATTTTGGTAAACAGCTGGAATAACAAAACTTGTGTCAGTGTCCCATTATTTTTGGACCTGACTGTAGATACTGGGGGAACTGCCACCCTATCTTGATGGATAACTACCTTCCATGCAGTTCTGTCTGACTAGTGTTGGAAACAACAGGCTGGATTGGATAGACCATAGTCTGATCCACCAAGGTTATTCTGTTCAGTCCTGAGGAAAGCTTTGTTCTTATTTAGTCAGGCATGATGAGTGTCATGAAAGAAGCAAGAAACCTGCCTCTATTCATTTATGCTATTTGCAATAATCTTTGTTTCAGAAACAAGTTGCCTGCATATATAAATGAAATAAGCCAGTTGCTGAATATTCTAAAGACATGTCTCTGTATTTTGCTTTCTACTGGGAATCTGACCAAGGAATCTGACCAAGGCCGCTCAACCGACAAACAATGCTTCTGCTGAAATTTAAATGCAGGTGTCAGAAGGAAGGAACCAAGCATTCAGCATCTTCCACTTGCTTTCTCTGAATTGTGATGCTTCTGTGCTGTGTGGGAACAAATCCTGTAAGAAATGCTGAACAGTACTCTCTGTTGATACAAAGAAGAGAGCTATGCCGCAGTCACAAACAAGTGCTTGCTATTGATCCACACATGGCCTTGCAATCAAGGACATAAATACAATAATTTTAGGATGCAATCCTGTACGTGGGGATAAACCTTATTCAATTCAGTTGGACATCTCTAAGTAGACATGTACAGGGTTTTTCTGTTAGGTCTATATCAAGGCAGTGTCTACTGAGTGACTAACTCACCCATAGCCATTAATCCTGCCAAGTTGCTCAGAGTTTAATTGAATGTGTTCAGTGTTCACTTATAATTGCTCTTTGCTTGTGCACAACACAAGGGTGGACATGTTCATCAAATTTGGAGACCCATCCTTTGGTGCCTACCTCAGGTACCCACCATCTTCCAATTGTTGCACAGTAAAAAAAAAATACCAAGGTCAGGGGGTTGTTTTCCAATAGAATCATTCTTCCCATAGACCACCATGAACATGAGCCTTCTTATTTTGAGGAAATAAATAAAATTGGTGGTGCTGGTAGTGGTTCCATTCTTGCATCATTTCACTGGGGACTGTGGTTCTCAATCCTGCACAAATTCACTTGTGTATTGGTGAATCCCAATATTATGCCACCTTACAAGACCAATGTCCAAGTGCCCAGTCCAGTGTTCCTTCAGATGTCTTGCTATGGGTGCTGAGCTCTAGTGACCCAGGGATCAAGCACACGGTATCCTCCAGTGCACTGGCTGAAGGTGGTAATTAGAATGGGGAAGGAGTTCTGGATATGCTGCATGATCCTTAGTGAACCATACTGGGCACTCAGTGGCTGAAGTCCTGTTGATTGCCTGTGCCTGTGTAACTCAAAAGTTACACGAGTGGTAGCAAAGTTCATTCTATGGGAGAAGCAATATTCAATGGGCAGTTTTGCAGGTGTGTTTGAGCAATGAGTTGCACAGTGAATTGTGCAATCAGTTGCTCACACAAACATACAATGCAGACTGCCTGAGCAGAACCCCCTGTGAACGTCTTCAGGTGTAGATTTATGCTACAACAAGTACAATAAGATTTCAGCTGTTAAGCCATCTCTGTGTGTCTATTGGCTGTGGCTACTTCGAACGTCAGTGTTCACCTCCCCATGGAAGGAACAACAGATGTAACAATGGTGGAGCATGTGGGCGGAAGGATGGAGGGACATTATTCTTTTCAACCCATTTGTTGATGTGATTGGGTTCTTTCTCTGTTAGGGGCAGATCTTTCTTTTCCGTGGGAAGAATAGACGGAGAGGAGGATAACGGTACAAACAGGGCTTCTTTATTCTCTTTAACGTCTGAATTATCAACATAGAAAGGGTCCAACAAACTCAACTCCTGTAATGGCTTATAACTCTTAACATTCGTTCCACTCACATTGTTTACTCCCTTTGCTCCCTCTTCATCCCATGAGGGTTTTGAGCGGTTTGATTCTAGGCTGGGAAACTCAAGGATGCACAAATTGTCCCGCAATAAGGATGTTTCACATAGTTCCCATCCAGATATGGCAGGTAACTGGTGGTACCAATGTATGTTACCTTCTTCCCTATATCTTGGGAACATGGCACCACTACCATCCTGTCTTCAACTTAGGCTTGTCTTTCTCCACTAAGTTTGGGGGATCTGGCAGCAAACCCCCTCTGGTTCTGAGATTCGGGAACTTGCGAACTCATTTGACAGGTTCATACCTTTGTAGCCCCTTTTCTTCTGTCTGCACACCTCTGTCCTCTCTCTCAACTTCATGCTTCCTCCCTCCTTTTCTTCCTTCCTTCTCCTTTATACTCTCGTCCCACCTCATCAGATCTAACTCCTCCCCTTTTCTGGCTTGTCTCCCTTCTGCCAAGAATATCTCGACTACTTTATTCCATTCCACTTCTCCTTCGTCTATCTGGATCAACTCTCCTGCGGCGCAGCCAGTCACTAACTCTTGTCTGTTTTCCTCGGGGGATGGCACACTAAGCTGTTCCCCTTCACAGCTGACAAAAAGCAGCAGATCTTGAGTGAGTTGGCCACCCAGCAGTCCTAGATCTTTGAATAACCATTTTTGTCACAGTTGCAGACCCCACTTTTTCCAAGGGCCAGTGCATAGACACATCAATGGCATTAGACAGAAAGATGACCTGCATCTTTGTTTTGAATCTTTTCGGGAGAATCACCACAGGGCCACTCATTCCCATGCTTCACAATACTCAGTGCTTTGAATACATAGCCATCAATATAATGAAGCCATTAGAGAAATGGGGAGAGAGCATGTGCCCATTCTAATAGTTATGAACTACAAGAATCAATATCCAGAAATGGTGTCCTTGCAAATCACTACAACAAAGGCCCTTACTCTCAGTTGTTGTGGGTTGTTTCACAAATCAGATAGCATAAGGTGATCCTGACAGATCAAAGGATGGGCTGTATGAGTCAGGTATGCCAACAGGTGTGGAACATGTTAAAAACAGTGCATACTTCACTGTACCATATCCAGACAAATGGGATAGCCAAGAGGTTAATTCAAAGCAATGTTGTTAAAGTTCATGAGAGAGCAACTCCTTCAGCAGCACTGCCTTTTGGACTCATTTATGTTGGCCATGAGGAAGATGCCACAAGCATCCATGCGGTTTCCTCACAAAGAGGGACTCTTTGTGAGGATGCCCCAAGGGATGAGATGGGGAGAGATAAAGAGCCATCAGATACTTGTTCCATCCTACATCATGACATGCAGGAATAGCTGTGGACAAGACAACCTTGAACAAATCCAATATACTGTGTACAGAAACTTATTATGATCAAAAAGGCAAAGAATGTGGACCCCAATCCATGCAAGAGGTCTTATTATTGCCATCATCACAATCAAAACTATTTCCTGAATGGCAAGGGCATCAACAAATAATGGAAAGAGGCCATGTAGATTGTGATGTTTGGCTTCCAGGTGGGTAACAGCCCACCCGTATGACTATGTTAATTTATGAAAGCCTGGCAAGAACCAGAGGCCCTAGACAACTGTTTCTGCCCAAACCTCTTGAGACCTGACCCAAGACATCTTGCTGGCCCTGCAGGATAACTTCCTGGATGAACAAAAGGGCCAGGCAATGCAGCTGAAATTGGAGTATCTTGATGCATTGTCCACCTTACTTGGCCACACCTTTTTCATTTGGCTTAGATGTCGCAAAAGCTGCATTTCAGCAATTCATGGATCAGAGGCTCCACTCTGTCTGTGACTCTATAAGGCTGCCAACACTGATGATTACCATTATCCTTAGCTCCATCTGGAAAGATAATCTCACTTACCTTGAATCTAGTCTTGATGCCTTCAGGCAAGTGAGATTAACAAATACTGTAACCCCAAAAATGACCAAATACAATATTGCCATAGGTGAGCATATACTAATGCAGACATTTTTCCCCTGGGAGGAACTATGGACAAAAGACAACACCTGTGCAGGTCTCCTTGTGGTGGACCCAAATGTGTCACAAATTGAAGCAACCAAGAATGTTCCCTTCAAAATATCCCCACAAACTCTAGGGAATTTGAAACTCAGGAAGGCTCTGAGTACAGAAACAAACAAATATTGATCCCAATCCAGATAAGGGTCAGGTTAAAGTGTCTCCAGAAGGGCACAGGAGAAGTTGGGCACCAACATGGAGTAGATTGAGGAAAGGCTAAAGTACATCTCTAAGGTGTACGTACACACTGTATGGACAACATTGCAGCCTCTCTCACACATACATATATATGAATGAGAGTAATTGTAGACGGTGCAAGAATTGTAGCCTTAAAGTAGCCATTAGAGCTAGTTTAATGATACACTACACATTTAGTGTTCCAGAATTTATTTGGAAAGGCTCTCACCTCTATCCTCTTTCCTTTCGGGTGACCAAAACAATTTGTGTTTCAACTAATGTGGTTTCCAGAGATGCAAAACATTTGCAAAAATTATGTTTTTGTAGGTGTCTTTTAAAAAAATGCACATGTCTCCTCCTTGGTAACAAACAAAGTCACATCGGATTAAAGCCCAGAATCCTTCTTCTCCTTTCCAACTGGCAATTGTGGAGACAAAAGAGGCTTTTGTGGAACATAAATGTCAGCCAGAGCCTTCCAAGCACCCCTCTGGTGGTGAAAGAGTTAACCTGGCACCCACCCCAGTTCTCTACAAGGGAGTAGGTCAGTTAATTGGGCAGGCCTCTCTTGTGCGATCCATCACCGAAGGGGAAACACTGGACGGATGGGGGTAATAACAACAAAGTCTCTGCTAATTTGGGAAAATTGCTCTGATTTGGGAAAATGGCAGTGTTTTCCCCCAGGTGATTGACGAGCTTTGGAAAAGGGAGGCTTTTGGGCCCAGTCCCTATTTGTGTGGCATTCACTCCCGGCTGCACTCTGCTGCCTCTCCATGCTCTGAGTTGGCAGTGACGAGGCAAGGCCACTCAGAAACCAAGGAGAGGTTGATATCATCCTTGGAAAAGACTCCCTCGGAGAGCCAGGGCTGATTCCCACCTGACCTGTCTCTAACCTCAGGCTTGTTTGGAAAACACCTTTCCTTCTCTGAGTCGTCAGGAGCTTTCTGGTGCTCCTGGAAGGAAACCAAGACAATTTAGTCTGAGGCAATGGTTCCTAACCTGGGGTAATCTATGTGTTCTGGGACTGCACCTCCCAGAAACCCTGGCTAGCACAACTAGTGGTGAAGGCTTCTGGGAATTGCAGTTGAAGAACACCTGGATTACCCAAGGTTGGGAACCATTGGTCGATGGCCACAGGTATTCATACATGGCCAACTCTTTGCCCTGACATCCAGGCTGGGTTTGGAAAGACTCCCTCACCTGCAGTCCCATATGTGCACAGGTAACCTCTTCTATACTGTCTACAGCAGGAGTAGGAAAGTGTGCCACTCCAGGGAGCATTGGCTTATACCTCCAATCAACCTTAACCTGCTTAGTCAGTGGTGAAAGATTATGGGAGTTGCAGTCCAAGCCATTGGGTAGGCCTCCATTGCCTGCCCCTGCCCCACAACTCTCCCATAACTGTAACAGCTCCTCTCCCCCAAAGGAAGAAACAAGAAAGCAGGCAAGAGGGAGTGCCTTACCTGTCCCACCATTTCAGGTTGCCCAGAGGGCTACTACAATTATGTCACATTTAGCAAGGTTCAAAAGCTGATTCTTGGCTACCCCTAGGAACAAATTTAAAACCTGGCTATTTGGGCAGGCTTTCCTTCCAGCCCTATCTTAATTTCATATACTTTTGCCATCTTGGATATATAATATATGCTTATTGGTTTTATTAGTTTTTTAATTTGTAAACTGCCCAGAGTAGACCTTTGGTCTAGATGGGCAGGATAGAAATCAGTCAGTCAGTCAGTCAGTCAGTCAGTCAGTCAGTCAGTCAGTCAGTCAGTCAGTCAGTCAGTCAGTCAATCAATCAATCAAT